TTTGTCATCAGCGTCAAGATGAGATAAATCAGGCTGAGAGACTGTAAATCTCTAAGTTTCAAAGAAAGACACGACACAGATGAAAATTTCATGGCCAGATATTAACTGTGGTAGACTGCTGAAGGATTAATGTGAAACAAAATACTGTAAATGAAAGTGTTCCTTGAACTGAAATCATTGGCTTCCCTAATTATCTAGCTAGCTACCTGTACATACTTTTCCATACAGTTTATTTTCACACATTACATACCTCCTTCAGGAGTACACACATTTGATCCTGGATCATTTAGCAAAGCAGACATCGTCCTTTAAGCTTAACACTAAGTGCACACTTAAGTGTTCAGCTGGATCAGATTGCAGAGTACTGTGCAAGGCTGAGCCTTTCACAGGGCCACCTGTGGGATTTTCCTCCTCTTTGAACAAAGGCTGCGATGACAGTCTGTACACACACTGTCTGACCTAGGATCAGCAGCACTTTATGTGCAGACACCCACATAAAGATTTTCTTTACAGAACTGATTTTAAAATGGAAATGTCTCACTCTCCCCCAGCTCTACTGCTAGACAGTGTTTACCCGATGATCCACAGGAGCTTGTTCTCAACGGGAGCCTGTACACAACTTATTTGTGGGTTAGTGGGCTGGAAATTACACATTTAGAATATTTTCTGGAGGATGTCATCATAATTCCTGCGCTTAAAAGTGTTTAACATTGCATATTCATTACATACTTGAGAAGATATGAATTATCACAGAGTGGACTGAGACTTGCTAATAAAATAATAACAAATACTTAATGCACAAAAATATCTATACAAAAATAAAAAACAAACCTCTTTTGCCTAAACTGAGATGCAATTAACACACTTCTAAAAAGCTATAGGTTTAAAGCAGCTTTCCAAGATTTACATTTTAGTCATTCAAATACTTTCTATGGATTACAGTCCATTAAAACACAATATTCTGAAGCCTTTGTGCTACCTCAGTGCAGAAGAACTATTTAAAAGAGCTTTTTTAAAAAAGTGTGGTCAGAATGCTTTAAGAAATATCACTTTATGAAATATAATAAATTATCTTTGTATCAGTATCATGTGGAAGAGACATGCTATATACTTTGAACGGTGGTTCTGAGATGTACTGAGGTTTGCATAATGCCAACCAACATGCTGTATTACTTCTTAAAGGCTTGTGAACAAGAATTTTACTACAGTCACAACATATATATTGGACTCTTCTAGTAAATTGATCACTCAAATAAAAAGAAAGGAATGTTTTTGATCTGCAAAGAAGATGGGCAAAAAGAAAGCCTGCTCATCTTAACTCTGCGTTAGGGAAAAAATGAACTTTGATCTATCATATTGCAGAGCTGCTTGTATTTCAGTGGCAATTTATCAATTCTGTAATAGTCAAAGCGTCCAAGAAGTAAAAGCTTCTTATTCTTCCTAATCTAATAGCTATTATTTAAAATTTTTATTCTGTATGACTTACTGTTCAGTTCAGAAGCAAGAAAGCAACATTATTTCTTAAGAATTCTCTTTTTTACAAGTACTGATGAAATGGAGGTTAGCACTACATGCTTTGTTCATCCTGGTGTAAAAACAATGCAGAATCCCACCTTCATACAGTTCTACATCTGTTACCTAACCTCACAGGCAGTGCCACATGTCAGCAGCAGGACTGCCTTCGGGCCAGGCTTCAGCAGACTGCCCTTCAGGGAACACTTTCTGTGTGTGCTCTGCAGCAGGTCCCATCACCCTGTCCACCAGCACAGGCCTGGGTGACTTCCATCCTGTGGGGAGCAATTAGGAAGCCTCCTCCCTGCTCCAGCCACCATGAGTGCTGCAATTTGTCTTTACAGGGGAGAGAAAAGGGCTCTTTGCTTTGCCCCACTGCACAATATGGGTGGAAGGGTATGTCCCAAGGTGACAAACCCAGCTCCATGGCAAGTCCCAATTTTCTTAGCTGAGGTGTGCTCTGCATTCCTAAGACACTGGAGACGAGAGGATATTCACATCTTGTGGGCCTCTCACAAAAGTGGATCTGAAATAAGGTTGAGTGGCTTGCTTTAAAACATTTGCTCTGTAAGTCCAAAGAAAGGAGCATTCACCAGTGCAGATCTAAACTTGCATGTTGTTGTTGCTAAACATGAAACCTGAAGGTCAGAATTCCCACAGTCAACCACTCCTACTCAAAAATACATCAATGTATTTGCTAAATGGAAACTATACTCACATCACATCTTATTCTAATGTCACAAAACCCATAAAATTACAAATCAGTTTTAAAGGAAAATACATGACAGCAAAATATAAGTACACAAAAACTACATTAAATATCAGTCTTCATTTGTCCTTACCACTTCAACTTACCTCTCAGTTCAAAACTACTCACTGCAGTGCACAGCTTGAGATAGTCTAAGATCCATTTTAGAGTGGACTGAAATATAAATGACAGTTCGCACTACACATGAACATAGACAACTGTATAAAATATTTAAATAAAGACAGAAAAGAACAGAGGAAACCAACAGAGCCTTTGGCAGACCCAGCCTTTGGGAATTTACCAGCTTGAGATTCATTGAAAATTTCATCTTTAATGTTATTTTTAGTTCAATATTTTGTAGCACTCAGAAGTAAATCTTTGTGTGCTGTCTCTTCCTGCTTGTGCCGCTTCCTTTTCCGATCTTTTCTTTTTTTAAAGAAACTTAATATATTTTCAATACAATTGATTTGTGACATGTTTTGTGATACTTGTTAGTTACTGTTTCTTCGTACAATTCAGTGCAAACCATTACGCTTCTGTTTCTTTTTATCTGCTGAATACTGATTGTCATAATTGAAAACAAACAGTACCCCCAATAGTCTTTGTTCCACCATAACTTGACTTGCATTAAATTCTCTTACATTAATTTTGATTGTTGGGTTACAATCAATTTTTTATTTTTATATTTTTTTAGCTTCCTGCCACTGCTCCAAATACTGCCACACACCATGCTTTTTCAGAGCAGTTGTGATTTTATCCTCCGGTCTGCTCTTTGTTTCTGCTGTAAAGCAACAGTGATATAAAATAGAACTGGGAGAGACAGAGAGGAGACGGGGTAACGTCCGCCTGCAGAGAGGGAAAGCAAGGCTCTGCCTGGCATCTCCTCTCCTGCACCCCCTGCCCAGGCTGAAGTACGGCAGGAGGGGAAAAGAGCTGGTCCTGTGCTACTTGTCCCATGTTGTGCCACACGATCCAACACAGCTATTGGCCCCTTCTCTGCTGGGACAGACACCAGTGAGGCCAACAAGTGGACAGTGTAGGCATATGAGCAGATTGTTATGGATCAAAGCAAGCCACAGAGAAGCTACAGGACAGTGGCCCCACCACAAGCATTCATATGCTTTCAGCCAAAAGCAAATGCAAGATAACTGACATGCCAGTGGAAGAGAAACAAGAGTATTTCTATCAGGTACTGGGGAGTAGGCCTGTGAATGTGGCAATTACCAAAGTTTCTGAGAAACTAAATTCACATCCTAGGTAACCCTACAGCATGCTGCTCTACATTCACACTCAGGTGTCTTATTCAAACCCGAGTCCTATTCTGTCTTTTGTTATTTAACTTGCCAGACCATTCCTCTTCCTCCCATTACTGTAATTATAATTTCACAGTTGTGCCATTGGTCATGACATTAGATTTAGACTATTCCATACCCTGTGGAACTGACAATAGCTCTGTGATGTTACATGAGGAGGGGACGATACAGGAGATGCTTATCTGCATAGTATAGTACGAACACCATAAAACTACTTTTACTGTAGTTAATTCCAATTTCATCAGCCTATGACCCACAGTTGAGGACTATGCTGAATTTTTCCTTATTCACGAAAATAATCACAAGAGGAGGACCTTGCCTGTTCATAAAGCTTAAAAAATGCAAGAGAGGTTTTTAGTTTCAAAAACCTTATTTCTGACATACTGACATACTAAGCAATTATTCAATGGCTCTCACAACGCAAGGACTAGGAGCCCCAGTTAAATGATCAGGCATCAGTCTTATACAAACAAAAGAAGCACTTCATCCCCACAGTGCATAATGAAATTATGGAGCTCATGGCCATAAGATGGTGTGGAGGTCAAAAGTGTAAATGGACCATAAAAGGGATTACATGAAATCATGCAAAGTAAAATCCATCACTAGCTACTAAACACGATGATCAAGAATAGCCTCCAATCAAAGTGCCTGAGATACAGCTCCTGAGAAGCAGAAGCTCACAGGGGGAGAAGGATTGTTCTATGCTAGCAATACATAAGAGCTCATATTCTTTTTCCCTAGGCATTATTTCCTGCTCACTCCCAGAAGTCACTGGTCTGTGTGGATTGTTTCCCTGACTCAGGATGGCAGCTATTGTAATGTACTAAAATCTTCACAAATTTTAACTCATTTTATTTGGCATGTTTTAGAGATTTTTCTAAATTAAACAAATAATAAATTAAACACAAGTATATTAAGAAAAAAAAAAAAAAAAAGAAAAAAAAAAAGGAAACAACGTAAAGAGCCGTACAGAAGGCAAAAAGAAACTGAGGTACCCAGAAAAAGATGGAGATTCAGAGTTTATGCTTTGCCACATGGCTGTGTTTCAGGATCTCACTCTGTGCTAACAGTTGAGAACTGTGTTCCAAGTATAGCCCTGTGGGCCTGCAGTGCTGGAACCACCGCTCGTCATTGCTTTCATTGCACTGAATCATTTGGGCCTCTCCCCACATGAGTCAGGTTTTGAAAGCTGAGCCTCCTCCATCCCGCAGGATTCGTTCACCTGTCCCATTAGCCCAGTTTCACTATTTGTCTAATGACAACCACAAGCGACGACCTGACTCAAGTCATGTCAATATTCTGCCAAAAACTACCATTTTGCCCTCTCAGCCACCTCCTCCCACCCACCCATTGGTTATGGAACTGTGGGATGGTTGCCAGGGAAATGCAATAAAAAGTAGGAAATGACATACAAAAATAAAACTCACCTAAAAGCCCTGTGCATCAGATCTCTTTGTGTTGCTTCTTCACCCCCACTCCTTTTCTTCCAACACTTGTTTCACCACTCTTCATTTCCTCTTCCTTTGCTGCCCATTTTCTTCACATGTTCTAACTTCTGGTCTATTTTCTCTTTTTATGTACTAGTTTTTTGTTTTGATTTTTTTGTTTTGTTTTGTTTTCATTTGGCTGAAAATGAATAAATTAATGCTTTCATAATTTTTTCTTGCTTTTGAGCCAGTAGAGCATCATGGTATCACTTCACCATTTGTTTCCTGTTTCCACCTTCTTTACTACACATTTTGTTGCTGTTTTTTATCCTTTTTCTGGTTTTCCTCCATGGCAATCAATCCCTCTGGGCAACAATTCATTCTCAGTGCCTTCATCCCACCTTCTCCCTGCAGAGCTCCTGTTATATCCCTGCAACAGTCCTGTCGGAAGCAATCTGAATTTCCAGATTAATTTGTTGTGCTTTGGAAGTCTTGACAGGGTGTAAGTATTACACTAAACACGCAGTACTGAGCATTTCTGATGGAAGCTTTCTGGATTGAGGGGCATGACTTCATGGAGAAGCAGAGATGTGGAGCGAAGCAGAGCACCGTGCCAGTGTGGGGTGGAACATTCTCTCTTGCTTAACTCTCTCTAAGCCACTTATTCCACTGTTATTTGGCTTTCCAAATGTCAGAGGTCATTGCCGCCTGAATGTTCTTCCAGGATCCGTCCCTGAAATCTGGATATCCCTCCTGCCAAGAGAACACAATATTAGGAACAGTGCTCTGTTTTAGCTTACAGTTGCTCATATTTTCCAGATATTTAAAACCACTTAGAAGAAACGTCAGTTGATTGAAGCTGCTGAGTGGGCTGCTCATTGCTTCATCCCGTGGCCAGGCTGTGCTTGCTGCTGGGGGGGTGCAAGGCTGGCCCTGCAGCTCACAGGGTCGGGTCTATACATCCAGTACACACATGTTTGTCAAGGTCTAAATATACTGTAAACCAGACAGTGTGTTTAAAATTCAACCCTATGCTGCTTCATCACTATTAGTCACAAGTATACTCAATGCTTAGAGGGGAAACAGTGTTTCAGGCTTGTAAAATTAGTGAAAAAAATGGTAACAGCAGTGGCTTTAGCATGTATTTTCTATGCTAAAAATTGAAAGAATGAGAGATTAGGTAGTAACATCCAGAGGGTGGAAGGGAACCTGACTAACTGAGGATTTTCTGCTGTAAACTTTATCCTGGAAACAATATTTTTGTGTTTCTGTTCTATAACTTTGTTAACAGCACAATAACCCCAAACAGTACCATTTGCACAGCACTTTTTTAATGCACAAGCCACCATGCATCAAATACCATGCATAGTGCAAGCAACAAAAAGTATTCCCATTTTGCATCTTCTTTCCATTTATATTAATTACCAGTTTATCTGTGGAAGAATTGTGCAGTATGGGTTTTTCTTGCTTGTTCATAATAGGTTGTTCATTAAAGAAAATACTAGGAAATTATCTTCTGTGTCAGTGGATACAGAATGCCATCTGGGAGGTGAAAAAAATGAAGAGAACTCAGACTGAAAAAATAAATGATTAAAACCATGAAATGAGTTGTACTTACGGAAACTAAATACTTTAAAAATCCCAGGTGTATCAGGTAGGCTGTAACAAGTGGCACAACAGACAGGCGATGCACTCACACCACTGCTCCCTCCCGGGGCCTTCAGTGACTGTCATCACGTCCCCATGCTCTCATGTCCGGCTGCCCATCCTGGGCTGGCTGCTGCCCTTGGCCTTGGCACACCGGCACCACATGGATGCTCTCTGCCATTTCCTCCTGCAGCTGTCTGCTTCCTGGCAGCTCTCCATTCTGTTCTGAGCTTTATTCCGGGGTGCTTTTTAACCAACTCTTTAGCACAGGGCAGTTGCCATATAACATCCTCCTCCCTGGAGCCAAAACCGACAGGTAGCTCACAAACTCCTCCTGAAACGTGGGGTTCCCTGCTCTGACCTCATCTGGGGTAACCTGAATTTCAGTGCTTGTCTTGGTGGGGTCGGGTGGATGAGCTCAGCAAGGAGGGAGATGCCCATGCTGCTGGATAAGGAAAACATACAATATACTGATAAATATATTAAGATAAATATGGCCATATGCCAGTTTTTCCCCCTCATAAATAAGGCTTTTGTTTACCAAATGTTCAGTTTTGGTTATGTCACTATAAAAATCAAGCAGCTGGTAATTCAGGCTTGATTAGCAGGTCTCCAGTTTTGATTAGTAAATTACTGTAGTAATCAAGGTTAATTCTCATTTCAGAGCTATGCCACAGATTTTATCTCTTCCAGAGAACTGGATTTACCACTCTGGAAAAGGAATATTTTAATAAATGTGACAAAAAACATCCAGGAATAGAAAGCAAAAGCAGTTCCAACAGTTTTTAAAATATAGGGAAGCAGAGCAGCAGTGCCATTCTAACACGAAATGGTTAATGTCCTAGGAATAAAACTCCAAGATGCAATTTTGCAGATGATTTCCACATAATATATGCAGAGATTGCATTGCTAATTCCTTTTACCTTGTTTTTCTGTTTCTATCTTTAAAAATTGCTTTCTTTGGATCTTCATCTTTCATTTTAAGAGAAAAAAAAAAAAAAAAAAGTGTACAGAGAGGCTTAAAAAGAAGCCCAAGAGAGCATTATTAGTAGAAAGATAAACAGTAGAATGGATTCTAACTGAGCCAGAAAACATCATTGTAGAATTTACATAAAATTTAGTTTTCAACCAAACATATTGCACATCCAGTTCCAGCTCATCTCATAATGAATATTCAAGCTTTCAAATGACCCACATGTCCCATAAGTGATCAAGAGTCCCCAAAAGCCATCATTGTCATAGAAGAGGCACAGTATTAAAAAACAATAAGAATTCATTGGGGATCTTCTTTTTCTATGAAACTTTTACTGAATCTTTAGTCTGCAAATCTTCTGATTATTTGAGCTGCACAAGTCTGTCAGGGATTTGGGTACCACAGGATAACATGTTTTTATATGGATTTTAATTAGAATAATACTATTGTTTTCTAGTCACAATTCTGGGTCTGATTCGGTGTTTCTCTTTCACATCACTTTTGTAATAATTAGGCACTCAATTATCTAAAATAAATGTGAAGTTTTGCTTTATCTGCTATACGCTGCAGACATTTCTCAGATAGGAAAGCATGGGCAATTTTTAGATATACTACAGTATTCCACTCAAAATATTTAGATAACTCTTTTTCCTAATAACATTGAAAGAACTGAGGACCCAAAACATATGGGAAGAGAGGCACAATAAAAGAAGACTTTGACGTAAAGTTACACATTTCCAATGTCTCTTGAGGAAAAAAAGATTTTCTCTAAACAAACATGCTATGTCTTTTTGAAAAAGGCTGGGAAGGAACGTGCAGTTTACTTCTGCTTCATTACGTATCATAGCATATATACCACATACATATTTGCTTATTCTTGTGGAACAGTAAGACCAGGATCACCTGTGCTTCTAATTCAGCACTTAGGTTCTGATGATGACAAACAGAAAATGCTTCAGGAGATTTCTTCCAAGTGTTTCAAAGTTGATAGCTGTCATGCTGGTTAAAGAAAAAGAGATTCTTTTTCTTCCTGTGTTTTAATCTGTACGACACAGACTTGGATATTTAACATTCAGCCCTACCTGCATGGCTCACTTACAGACCAGCACATAATGACATAAACACTGGCAAAAGTAGAAAGCAACCTGAGCTGTAAGTGTTTATTTGGGATTAACCCTCAGCTAAAATAATAATTATTTGTGTAGAAAGTAAGCAGATACAGACGGGATTTACTGAGGATGTTGGGGACCTGCCTCCCACAGCAACAATTTAGAAAGTCCCACACTTTGTGGGAGAAGAGGAAAAAAACATACTTACATCAGAAAGTCTATAAAGCATCGTAATTCCAGGAAAAGTGTGTGTGCTTTTCTTCTGGTCTGTCGCACATTGCAGGACAAATTTCACCTGGGGAAGGAAGGGGTGGGAGGGGTGTAGCAATTCCAACCAGGTCTTTGCATGAACAGGGAACTTTTGCAGATTTATGGCTCATCTCCAGCTGTACAATGGCTCCTTGGATCTGGCAGATTTTACTCTTCACATTTCGCATGGTTGGGCTTTTTGTTGTTTGTTTGTTTGTTTTGGCTTTCCTTTTCTTTGCAGCTCTTCCAAGTTACAGGAAGGAAGCACACAGCTGTTGTTCCTCAAGGAACTGCAGAGGAACAGTGGCCTCTATGAGCATGAGCACCTCTCCCACCACCAGTCAGAATGCAGACATGCTCCAACAGCTTGAGATTCTTCCTGAGCTGCATTCCTGGCCAAACCCATTTCTTCCCTGAGACTCTGGTGAATTTGAGTGAGCAGCTTAGGAATATGGCTGCACTACAGATAAAGCTGTGTTGGAGGTCAGTAACAAAATTCTGAATAAAATTCAAAACTGTAGCCTCAAGAAGATTGCTCTACCTTACTCTATTGAGAGACAAAAGCTCAGAACAGGAGGCAGAAGTGCCTTGAGGCCTCCTGGGCTTGCACAGGGCAGCATGCAACTGGCTATTCACCACCCTTCTGCCAACCTCCAAATGATCAACACGTCCAGAGAGCCACTGCAATCCTGTTATCCCTGGCAGAGCAATGGTTTCTAAAAAGCAGTCTGGCCTTGTGTAGACAAGAGAAGTCATAAGGTTTCTGGAAAGGTAGTTAATTTATCTGCAGGTAGGATGGCATCACTGAACGTGATCGATTCTATTTAAGGTGATTAACAACGTGTTATGTTGCTTGTTTTGAATAAAGACTATAGGCCAACTTCTGCCCTGGCTCAACTCCCACTGAAGTCAATTGTTTAGCCTGAAAAATGGATTACAGGATGTGGCTATAATTTATGCATAGGAAAAAGAAAAAAGGTAGAAGATTTTGCTTTAGAAACAATAATTCTTATTTATGTGTACTGCAGCAGTGCCTCAGACCCAAGATTCTTTTGTGGGATGGTATCCAAATACCTAGAAAATACAGGCATGGCCCCTACCCCAAAGAGTCTTTAATCTAAGCAAGAGACAAGAGACAGCAAACAGATGGGAAGAGGGGCAGAAATGACAAGGTAACTGGAGATAATTATGATCACTATGCAGTCACAGCACATCAGCTGCTTAACCACCATCATTTTTTTAAGGTGTCACAGCAGAGGAGAGTTTTAAGGGAGGATGTGAAGAAGGGCAATTGTAGTGGCTTGGCTGATTTTTATAACAGTGGATGCAGAGAAGAAAACAGCATGGTTCAAAATTTAAGAAATGAGTGGTGAGATCCGGACTGAATGGAGGATGCACGTGGATCTGTCAGTACCAGTGCATGTGACAGCAGCAGATAGGATGGGGAGAGCCTGTGATGCGCCTTAAAACATCTGTAGGATGCTTTTAGCTGCAGGGCAAGGGAAGGAGACAACAAAAGGCTCATGGTGGAAGGGGAAGATTGTACAACATTAAATTTAGAAATGCACCCCTGCAGCAGTGTCAGTGAATGGGCAAGGTACCCATCTGCTGAGGCCAAAGTAACTGAGGCTCACTGCTGCGGTTTGCAGGAGTAATTGAGCTGTGGTAGTAGAAAGACTGAGCTGCAGATACGTGGTACAATCAGAAGGTTTGTCCAATTACACACAAGGGTAGAGAGAAAGATGTAGAAAGATATCATATTGAGGAAGATGCGTGCCTAGAACTTGAAATGATAGAGCTGATACTGTGGTCACACATGAGGCTTTTGTTTTGTAAGACCCTTCTGGCAGGAAAGAGATTCCCTGTACTTGAAAAGGAGAATGATTCTCAAACGGTTTATATCTGACAGAGCAGAAAACATTTTGTGTGTTAGAAAAGTATATGGCAAAGTGAGACTAACAGGTGACAAAGACTCCTCTTCAAAGGTTTTAGGGCTTTTTTTCCCATAATATTAATTACTGTATTGCTACTCTGCCAAGATCATGTTTCAATAAACAAATCAACGGAAACAACTCATTTTTGTTTGCCATACATATATGCACCATTTTGGTGTGCCACTGTGGAAACTACATACAGGAAACTTCAGTATATGGAGCTGCTTGTACATACATGTAGGAGTAACTTTCTGACAACTGACCACTTCAACCGCATCCTGAATGAAAATAGCAAGGACAGTACATGGGCTACTGCAAAGTGATTTATATATTATAAATATATAAATTGATATCTAAATTACTGCCAGAGCTCTGACCTTGATTACAAATTATCATAAAATAAAGAATACTCTGAAGTGCCCCAAACTGTAGATCAAAATACTTGTTTATTCATCACTTTGACTAAGATCTAGCCAAGATTTTGTTGGCTAATAAAATCTGTAAATTAAATAGAAAACAGGCCCAGTAAAGAGAGGTCATGCCTGTTTTTTTAAATACTTACAGTCCTTTAGGGCAGGATGTCTGTGCTGCCTTAATTGTTCAGAGTTTCACTTTCTGCCATGGGACCTGCAAATGTACAAGCCTCTGTCTCATAATGCTGCAATATAAACCTCCATTTAAACTTGATGTGTCCCTTCTCATTGGAGTTTTATTTTCCAGGCACTTTTGTGATGTGCTTTTTTATGAGCAGTGTGAATAAATACAATAGAGACATTACCTATGCAAATGGGCAGAACAGAAATGTCTAGGTTTAGGAAAAAACAACAAAATTCTACTTTATATATATATATATACATATATATACATGTATAGAGCAAAACCCCAATAGCTTCACTTTTCTTGTTTTAAGAATGATTTTCTTCTAATATTGCTGCCAGTGAGCATTTCTCTGAGGAATGCATTAACTATGCATGATCTGACCGGCAATATGTGAAAGTGACCTAAATTTCACATTTGTACTCTGTATTTTGATTCTTCTCCAGTTTGTAAAGCCATGCCCATGACTGCAGTCATGAACGCTCGTAACTGTTGGGAGGAGTGGCTTCTTCCAGAGCTACTTATTCCATTCACATCAAGATGTATGATGGGCAACCTCTGGACAAGGTGTTCAGCTGTGCTTGATAGCGTGCAAACAATGCACCATTGTACAAGTGCCATATTGAGCTACCATACTATCACAAGGTGAGCAGTGCCCTATGTTCCCCAGTGAGCAGCTTTCAGCTATCTGAGGACTGTTTTCAGTGAATCAAGTTTATAGAAAGCTTTTACTATCACTCAAAAGGAACATCTTTGTGGATCATGTCCTTAAAATATAAGCCATATTCCCATTTTTAACTTCTGGAAAGTTGTAATCTACCTGGACTCTAAATGGTTTCTATATTTAGGAGAAAAAATCATTGTGACTCACCATGGAGCAGGACAGTAGATGGTCTCTGATTCTGTCATTTATTTGCCTGAAAAACACACAAGTGTTAAGATTTATGATGCAGGTAATGTACATCCCTATTGTTGGTAGAAAGTGAGGGGTTGGCTTTATGTGTTATCACGCAAAGGGTATAAACAAAAAGGAAGAAAATAGGAAAGTTTGATCATCTGCTAGCTGGTAAAACATCAGTTTTTTTATACTAAATTAAACTTTCAAGTATGCAAGATTCACCTTACACTAAAATGAAAACTTCAGATACTAGCCTGGAGACCAATTAAGCCTTTAGTAACCAGGCAGTCATGATAGGTAATGATAGTGCAGCAGAAAATTCAGACTAACCAGTACTTCACATCACAGTGCAGATCCTCTATAAAATTCATATTGTTCCTAATGCACTTTTTCCTATTCTTTAAGCTGAGGTTAGACCACTTTCTGTTTTTAGTTACATCATTATAAATCTGGAGTAATACTATGAAAGTTCATTGAATCGATGAGGATTTTGTATTTTTTTGAGGTCTCAAGTGAGATATTCCTATGCTCCCTGTGCTTTGGACTGTTTTATTTCTTTGTCTCCTTCCTTGTTACTTACTCTTTTTCAACCTCTGTACTTACATTACTCCATCCTCTCCTACCCATTCCTATTGCTTTTTTTTATGGCTTTGGGTGGGTGGTTAACTGGCATTGGGAAGAAAAGCCACACAGGAATACATCCGCATATAGCATTATCCAGAGCACCATGCCTCCTTCTCTTGGTTACTTCAATGTCATTATGAAACATGCTATATATTTATTGTTTAAACAATCTTAAATAGTAGAAAAAAGAACACTGCTTCTTTTTTTTTTCTTCTGAGGTTGTCATCTATTACAAAATCCTACAAACACAAAAAAGGAGCAGTTAAATGAGTGCCTTAATTTGCTTGCTATTGAAAAGCCGTTACTATAACAAACAGCAGCAAGACTTTTAAATCAGGCCTGTGGAACAAAGCATTCCAGTGTCATTTTTACATTAGTGATTACAGTTGATGTCATTTTCACAAAACAAAATTATAACCAAAATGGATATTTCAGGTCAAAGTGCTGCAAGGAGTATATAGATACATTTCCATCAATAAATCTGCCCTTTTCCTGCCCTGACATAAGTGTTCAACCCCTTGTGATTGACGTTTTTACCACTAAATTATACTATGTCTGCTTCTAGAAGAAACGTCTCCATTACAAAATTAGCTAACCATCAACATAACATAAAATAACTTCAACATGGTGTCATTTCACAAGAATATTGATTCTTACAGACTTACTGGATTAAATCCTGGTTTCCCATAAAAGGAGGAGCCATTATGTCTTTGGTAGACAGAAAAATATATATTGTGGAACGATGTATATTGAGGTGATTAAAACTTCATTGCTAGGCACAGAAGCATAAGATTTCATCCTGTGGCAATACAAAATAAAGAGAATTGACAACACATTAATATGAACTATGCATATGTTTAAGAAACAGCTAGTATTCCATCATTTTATTTTCATCTGCTGGAAGATACTTCTGCTGTTGGTGGCAGGAGGAAAAGTCATCAATTCTTCAATGCTGACTACTGAGTCTGCCAAATTCTTTTCAGGACCTTTGCATGAAAATCTATCCTGGCTTCATTTTCCTCCAGTGCTATTACAATTCTTCATACTTCACAGGATGTTGTGAGCTTTAACTGACTCAGACTCAGAAGGTCTTTTGGATGAACAATACTATTTAAGAGCAAATAGTCACAACGAGCAGTTGTAGTTTCTTCTTACATCAAAACTGTAGAAAGGAAAACTAATTGGAGAATAGATTTTTATCGCTCTCACTACTTCACTTTTATAGACTTGCCCTAATATTGAGTCCTGGAATAATAATACTGGGCACAAATTCTGTAATTTTAATGAAATTACATTGGTGATAAATTTGAGTCTGCTCTTTCGGACCACTTGCTCATTGGAAAATTTCCTAAGGGAGAAAATAACACCTCTGTGGCCACAGTCCCCTCCTGGAACTTGCAATATTTGATATTTTAGCCTGATTCCTTCAAATACAGATGAAAAAACATGAAAAAAAAGGTGCAATGTAAATTCAGTTGCATACATAACAGTGTCCAAAAGACTCTACTGTGCTCAGAGTACATTTCTACCATAGGAGAGTCATTACACGTAGCTGCCTGTCGGGAAGGACGGTACTGCCTCCCACCCCTACCCATTAGGGCCTGGAGAAGGACAATGTTACAAGCCTCTGCCCACTCAGTCCTTTTTTGTTGGCACATTACTATTTTGTCATTTTGATCTCCTCCTTACTGAAGATAAAAGACACCACGGGAGGGATTCATGAATGAGTACTGTTATTTATCGACCCAGGACTTTTTGAACATTTTTTCCCCTCTGATTCATGGACCACTTTTCCATATTCGAAAAGCAGTTCATAAATCGTTCAGCACCAGCAGAAATTAATAATAATGAGTTCATTTACATAAAAGGACTCATCCTGCCAGTTGCTGATAAAGTTTGAAGCCAGAACCTTGTCAGCAAGCAGGATTTTTGCTGGCAGTGCAGGAAATAATCTTTTGTTTATAAATTAATCAAAACATAGTTTTCCCTCTGTTTTCAAGGCTGTTAGAGGGGCATTTGTTGAGCAAAATATCCTACATTTTCCTTTTCTAACAAATGGCATTGCCCATGGTGGAAAGAGAGATTTCCAGTAGTATTAAGTCAGGCTTTCAGGAGAGAGGAATGTGCTCGGACTTGTTTTCATTTTTTGAGTGGGGATTCCTTGCAAAGCCACTGGGAGCTGCATTTCATGAGATTTTGTTTGAATATATTCTTTATTCTGGATTTGTGTGTGTTCACTCACTCCTCCCCCAAGTTCCAATCCGAGTTTCAAGTTCAAGTGAACTGAAAATCTCAACAAGAAACTCCCACGTTTCCTCTGGACTCGTGACAAACTCATGAGTTTCACATGACTTTGATGCAAAACTATAATCGGTCCCGGGTTTTATTTATTTTTAAGGAGGGATCAACCTGAATGAACATTTCCATAAAACCAAGGGTAGAATCTGTGAATGGAAGTGTAATGCCAGCACACACATGTGGTGTGTCTGTTTCATTACGTTTGGATGCCAGAAACTCTTCTCCTCACTCCAAGACCAGATTTACATGATTTACTCTAATGGAGCTCAATAGAATCTATATTGCTGTAAGATAACCAGAGTTTTGAAGCCTAAGTTTCACAACAAACTAGATCCAACAGCTTGAACCAACAGTTTCAAGCTGTTGCTGTGGAAAGGACTGACTCTCCCCAGCTCAAAGCCTCATGGTTCTGCTACGAGGTGGGACAAATTTAACAGAAAAAACATACATGAACTACATTCACTTTCCTTTGGAATGCTGCCCATTGCCACCCATCCCTCAGAGCCCTGCTGGCTCAGCTCAGGCTGCCCCAGGTGTCTCCACGTACCCAGAGGTTCTGTGATACCACAGAGTATCTTCCCTTCCCATGTGCCTACTGCAGCCTACATACCTACATCAAGCATCCCATTTCCACTCCACGACCCAACCCTACAAATTATGCGCTGCTGTAGTCAACACTGACATTTCAAGTTGCTTTCAGCATTCAAACCTGGCTCTGCTCAGACAAAGGTGGACAGCTGAAAATCCCCACTATTTCACTTTTCTAACTTATGCACCAGGGCACTCAGATTTGCCAGGAGGTAAATGAAATGGGCATATGAACATTTTACACAAGAACTTTCCTAAATCTCTCCTGGTATTTTAAAAAGAGTAAAACATTAGAGCATCAAGAATTGTTGGAAAATTCTTGTCAGCTTGCTTATTACTTTGTGTATGGCACTATTAATGGAAATGGTGATATGGGATAGGATTTGCTGCTTTGTTCAGTTTCCTAGCCTTGGAGAGTTGTTGTTTGATATTTTGATTTTTATTTGCATTTAAGCTTTTGTTTAGCAAATACAGAACAGGTTGTTTTCACAAAAGAAAGACTAAAAGTTGGAAATGTGCAATATTAATCTGATCTGTGTAACATGTACGTGTATGGCTTCAATAGAAAAACTATATTAAAAAAAAAAAAAAACAACAACAAAAGGCATGAAATGCCTGTTCCTACTTCTGCTCTTAATTGGTGACATCTGGATTTGTTGAGACTGAATGAAACTTTTATTTTGTGATTTTGAGAAGGAAGAGATGTCTGACTAGTTATCTTTATATGGTTTCATTTCCTCTCATGTCCCCTTCTCTTTCATTTTACTGTTTGAAGACTTCTAAGGTAGGCACAAGGGAGCCAAGATTTCTGCCTGCAGTCCAGAGTGAGCTCTGCACCACTTAAGCGCAGCACCAGCACGGGCCGCTCACTTCAGCTTTGTGCTCTCATCTGTAAAACAGTTAATGACACAGCTCAGAAAACTTTGCGGTGTGTTCACCAAAATCTATATGTAAAGCTAATGTACAGTATATTTACATTAGTATTCAGAACGCTTTTGATTTTGCATTAGTAGGATACAATTTTTCAGAAAGAGGCTTTCTTAGGAAATTTGGCTTTAATTACACTTGAATTGCAGTTACTGGTGGTGCCTACACCCACACAAGCTATATGTAGGTGTAGCTTATGGAAGCTTCTATGTAGCAAGTAGCATGTTGCTTCACCAACCCCCCCTTACATATGCTGGATAATGATTGATCTCACCAGGTACCACCAGTTCTTACCACTGTGCGATCAGAATTCGACATCACAGCTTTATCGTGGCTCTTTGTGTCACTGTATTTTCTTTCTTTTTAGCAATCATTTATAGAACTCAATATATGCAGGAATATTAAATAGTGAATATTTCTATGGCCTGGAACAGAAAACAGCAACTGGGATCCAGTTTTCCAGCAGAAAATGTTTGAGGGAAATTTCTGTCTGTGGCAGCAAAATGACACGCCAAGCAGACAGAAAGCAACATTCATACTGTTAGGAGCCCACTTTCTGCAGTGCATAAATTCAAGACAATGAAAACGTAATGAATAAAGCATTTCAAGAGGTGATTGTGACAAGGACAGCACAGGGGAGGAGGGGTGCTGGATCTGGGAATCTGGCAGCCGACCACTGCAAGTCAGCCACGCTCACTGCTGGGAGGGGGCTTGAAACTGGGAAACGTTTCAGGCCAAGGGTTCCCAGAAAACTTTCCCTTCCCAAGCAAGAGAATCAAGAGCAACATTGAGATAGAGAACAGAATCAGGCTGCTCTATCTAGCTGCGTAAGACCCTGATTCTTCGCAACATCTGGCTGCATGTAAAGGATTTCAGCAATACATAAAGGATCCCAGCTCTTGCAGACCAGGCAGTCTGCTGAAAGCATCCTACTGCAATACAAACTTCAGTATAAAAATTCATCAGCCCCAAACAAATGCCTGTTGGGAGCTGCAAAAAGCCACTAAGTCCTGATCCCTGTAGGAGCTCCAGACATTGCTGGGAGCCACTGCTAACAAGGAGCCAAATCTGAAGCTGAGGCTGCTTGGAACCTCTGAGGATTTGGCCTTCGATTCAAGCAGCCTGCAGACCCCAAAGCCCAATCCTGGGAGGCTGCTATATAATTCTGAATAAGCTGTAGGGGAGAAAAATCTGAGGCAAGCTTTCAACCTTCTTGATTGGTTTTAGTAAAGATTTTCAAAGTTATCTTCAGAAGGAAAAGGGCCAGGAAAGAACCCACTTAAAGGAAACCTGAAAACCCACGTTGTGTTCCTGCCCTCTCCAAAACAGGAATTGTTTTCAGTCTTGTGCCTGGTGGCAAAGGTAAGTTTGAGCAGAAAAAGAGAATAAAAAGAATTATTGTTAGAACCAGTATAAAACCACAACTGAAGCTGATGATTCTGTTACTCATTTTCACACTCCTGCACAAATCTGTGTGTTTTCCATTTCTGAAATCAGCCATAGATTTTCAAATGTCAAATACATTTTTTTTGTGTGAAATTCCTAAAAGAAAGCTGTAATCAGAACATCATTAAAACCTTTATTCTATACATACACCATGCCAAACTTTGACAGATCATCAGCTGGACTTTACAAAATCCTGAACATTAGCACAATAATTGCAAAACTAGGAAAAATAATGAACAAAATATGAGAAGTAAGAAACAGAAATTCTCAGCACGCTTGGGTTCTTTATGCTCTCACGCTGACTTCTGAATGTTGAGGGATTACATCTTAAGGTATATTTTTGGGATCACACTTTCAAGATTTCCTGCACAATCAGGAGAACCAGAAAGTTTTGTTCTAATTTAAAAAAAAAATAAAAAATCCTTTTGCATGTGCAGGGGCTGAGGCTTTAAATAAAATACCAAGTACCTCAAAGTTAATGATTAAATTGTAAGAACTGGCAACTCTGCCTATAATAAGCAAGCAAAACTGCTCAGAAGCTGGTAGAAGAGGATGAGGAATGAAGTGCCGTACAAGATGGGAGAAGGTTTTGTAACATTACTGCTTTGGAGAGGTTGCATTCTTACCTTAAGTAGGTGCTGCTGTGAGCCACTATCTCAGCTCTCAGGTGCCAAGGCATGGCTTTTCGTGGGACTCTGAGACTTAAATGCTCACAAGCAATTTCAGTCCACTCTCACTTTTTCAGATTGTATTTCTCTCTTTCCTTTGCATCTGATTTTTTTTCCCTTTGCTGTCAGACTGTTTCAGTGAGTTTCTTTTTAAACAGTTCATTCCTTCTCCTCCCTCAGCTATTTTCTTCACATTCCCATCTCTCCCATCTCTGCATTCACTGATGAGCATGCTCAGGCCTGGCATGTTGGTGGGTTGTCATGCAGCCCAGGCAGGTATCAATACATAACAAAAATGGTGAGTTGAAGGGATCTTCCAGAGCAAGGCTTCCCAAATATTTGTGCACTGATTGATTAATATCAACTCTCAAAATGTCTCATCTATCACCACACACCAAATTTCTCACTGTGTCAAAAGGACCATTATTTCTTACAACCTCCTCCCTATCCAGCCATCTGCACTGTGGGAGAACTGCACCTCTATTACTCACTAAGACAGACACTATTGAACCTGTTCTTAAAGTCTCCTTGGGACAAGATGACGTAAATAATTCCTAAGGAGCTTCTTCCAGTGCTTCATCATATTAACAGAAGTAAAATCTGTCTGATATCTTTTCCAGGATATCATCTCATTCTTTCCCAGCAGACATGAAAGAAAGAGGAAGGTATTTCTGTTTTCTATGCTGTCCTCCCTTCTTCTTCCTTTTTGCTTCTCCACTCAGCGTCAGTCTGTCCCTTGCAATGGACATGGAGTGGTGTTTTGGTGCATCCAGAACACAATGTTTCTTTCAAGCAATAGGAAAGAACCCTAAATAAGAACAACTGGACTATTTAATTCCAATGTCAGAAGGGATGCAGATGTGAGTTCAATTAATTATTTTATAAGCTCTTTCAAATGCAAAAAGTGTTTCATAGTAAATGACAGATGTGTTTGTCTTAAATAAATACATATGTTTATACATCTGGTATTTTCAATAGGTGTTGTGGATATGTGACTTTATGAAAACTGGCTCTATGATTTTAGATTTTGGAACACATTTCCTTCATTTAGATTTCTAGGAGACTTGGAAGCTTCATTCTAATCTTTAAAGAGCACAAATATTTTCATCTTGAAACACTGAGGAGAGTACAAAGGTATATATTCTAATGTGATGTTTTAAAAACTAGAGATAAGAAAGAAAATGCATAAGATATTCTTTTGACATCTCATTTGTTTACTGCCAGATTAGAGCTGTGCCGCAGAAGTAAGGGATGGAGACTGGCACAGATTTAAGAAGAGATGTGACTGACAGTGTCACGGGTGACCTCAATTTCATTGCTGGAGTGGCTCAGCTAGAGCAAATACAGATTTGTCCACCTGTGCTCAAAATCCAGTAACACTTCAGGTGACCACAGTTGTATCACACAGTGTATTAGATTACCAAAGACATAGGAAAACCAATCAAAGCACTGACTATACAAATAATAATACCATAATCAATGGCATTTGATAAAGTAACTTAAATGTGTATACTGAGATTGCTGAAGGAAGGCTGAGGGATGGCTATCTCCTAGTCTTTCTGTTTTCATTTACAGCAAGATCTCTCTGGAAATGTTGAGGAATTTACATCTATCAGAAAATTGCTCACTTACTGACACCAGCTATTTTTAAGGTTTTATTTAAGGGAGATAATGAATAAGACTAAATTGATGCCAGGCATGAAGTAATCTTAACCAATACATTCAAAGTCTATAATACAAAATATTTGAAAATTATATGTGGAGTAATCTAAAGTAATGAGATGTTAAAATTCCTTGGAACCTAGAAACTCTTCTATTCATTCTGTTCTTCTTTTGCTTTCAACCTCACTGTGGGAGGCTCCATCTCTGACATCTTTATATATGATGTTCTCATTTCAAAATGCCACTGAACCTTCAAATGAACACTTGCCTATGATCTTTGAATACAAAAATACTTAAATCAAGGTTTTTATATTTTAGTGCACTCAGCCATTATATGCAGTGAACGAATTTTTGGTATTTAGTCTAAGTCTTATTTCAAAAGAAAGAAAAGACAAGTCAAAATGAAAACAATAGCTCAATAGAATGAAATATCAGCAGTACCAGATAATTTCTAGACAGGGTATTTTAAACATATTTAAAAGAAGGAGAAATTTAAAATCCTTTGGAAGTTAAAACTGGAATAAGACATAGAATCTTTCTAAGCAAACTGCTTATAAGCGAAGTAGGGCAAGCAGTCTTTGTACGCTATTTGCAGGCTGACACCTTTTTCCAATGTTAGTGTAGATATGACTTGTATGAACAGCTTCAAGGAACTATACCATTGGTGGACACTGGAAGAGAACAAGCAAGCAAGAAGAGCTTGTTGTTCTATGGTGGGTGCAATTATCGTGAACATGCTTCCTTAAAGGTTTTGAATTAATCTCTTTTTTTCTCATTGAGCTATAGAGATTTAATAACCATAAGCAGGTTCTGATGACATTTGCTAGAACAGACTACCATCTACAGTGGTCCCTCTAAATCAGCTTTACAACCATAATTCCTTACAACATAAACTAAAACCAAGTGTATGAGGCGCTTGATGTAATAACGCAGGTCTGCTACTGAACAGTATGTCTCAAATGAACCTTCTATTTCTTAAAATCATGTCTTAAATGTATGGTTTCCACAGGTAATCGTCTCTCACTACTTTCCTTCATTTTTGCTACCAATATAATTTTTTTAGCATTATTTTCTTTTCAGGGAAATGAGGTTTAATTGTTAAGTCTTAGCAGCTACAAGCCTTCTTTTCACTTACTTTAGAATTCCCCACCTAATCTCCAATTGTATTCCATTGTTTATTTTACTTTTAAGAGATTTGTCATATGCAATCAGTTCTCAGCTTTCTAATGCACTCAGAATTCACTGTTTTCCAGGGGGGTCAATGCATCAGACAAGAAATTGTTTCAGTTTTCATTTTCAGTAACCACTCATACACTAAGTATGGCAGGCAGTGAGCTTCGCAGTGCTTTCTGTGCTTGGGATAGGCTTCCAATGTGCATTTCTCCTCAAATCTTTTACTGACTCTGAGTGTCATTCTGGTGAAGCAAGAAGCTGGCTACATCCTGCTTAAAAGCTATGATGACTTAAGAGCTGTGATTGTTTCTGCCTTTCATCCTTTCAACAGGATTGCTGCCTGAACTGCAGTAGTATAAAACCAAGCTCACTATACTACATGGACTTCAAAAACACCAAGAAGTTAAAGCTTATCTACACAAAAATGCTGAAGCTTATCTGGAGGCAGAAACAACACAAACACGGGTACCTCCCTCTGAGAAATCCCAAGGCCTGTTCTTAGCATCAGCGTAACTGATAAGAACAATATTAAGATTTTTTTCATCTTAACTAGGTGACTGTAAATGACTCACATGTGAGCTGTGCAGCTGTGGGAAGCAGAAGAATGCACACCCTTAACATCGTATATGTATGCATTAAACCTGTATTGCTGGCAACGCTCCCTTGAACAGTACAGGCCACTTGGACAGCTTGTATAGGTGTGTTCTGCAGAACAGGAAGTGCCTGAAACATTGATATAAAAACAAAATAAAAAAAAAAGAGCAATACTGGTTATAGAGGGAAAGGGACAATACGTGACTTGCAAAACACCATTAAAAGCACATCCAGACCTGAAAGTAAAAATTGTACACCAGTGATCCCTCTGGAAGAGATTTTAATGCTTCTTCATTTTAGATATTCAGCTAAAATGTTGAAAAAAAATGCCATATTTAATAAGCAGTTTTAGGATTTTTTCAGTATTCTATTCTACCTAGAAATACATAATAAGCTGTAGAGTTACCATGAAAGCATTTTTCTAACCTCAACATTTACTATTCAGGTCAAGAGTGATTTTTATCTGTTTTAGAATGGTTTAAACCAGCTTAAAATTGAATGCATTTTTAAAGGCATTGTAGTTAACGCACTTGCTGGCCAAATTTTTCAGAAAGACATTAAGAACTCAGCTAAACGCATGAAGTAGCAAGAAAACCAATTAAATATATAGCTATTGAAAGCATCTATTCCAGCTGTAGAGTACACAACTTCCTTTCTAGGACTATAAAAGAATATATGGTAGTATGGAAGGTACAAGTCTTGGTTTGTCATTTGTTCCTGATGGTGACTACCCCAGCAATGTATATGGCAATGAAGAGGTTAAAAATCTTCCCTGGAGTAACAGAGGAAACCTTTTCTTCCCCAAAGGTATTGCCTCAGCTGCTAGGAAAGAGGCAAGTTCCTCCAGGTGACGAAGTAGGTGGGTTGATTGAGGTAGCCCAGCAATGGTTAAGTCTGCTGGGATCAATTAAGATGACCCAGATACAAAAAGTAAGGAGAATGTTTTTGCTCCCTTACTGCTCCCGGTTTCCCACTCTTGACTCCAAGCTGTGGGCTGCAGAACTGAGTCTTGAGGAGCACAGTTAGGCTGATCTGTTGCTAGCAGTTGAGTACCCTCAGAAACTAATTTCTTTTTAAGCAGTAAAATCCCAGATTTTGTGCAAAACACTGTGCAAAAACAGTGTTAACTTCAATATCTCATTGTAGTATCCATCCTTAATGCAACCCCTCTAATTTTATGTTTTAGACCCAGACCTGGCAATGGTGTAGCCAACCAAGAGTTACTGTTTATGAAAACATTTGTTTATAAAGCTTAACCAGGAAAAATATTAACATGTTTCTTAAATTGCTGTATCATTCCAATTACTTCTAAAAAGACCCTCAAGATACACCCTGTTAATGACAAATAATTGCCATGCTGCATTTAAAATTTCCAAGTTTCATGTACAAGATTTATCTTTTCAGCTGTTTCCAGCACTAGAACTGAATAAACCAACAGAGCTATGAAGTAAAAAAAAAAAATGATAATAATAACTAAAAAAAAAAAGGATCTTGAAACACAGGCTTGCTTGCTTCAATATAGTATTGAGGGTTTTTTCTGTTTGTTTGCTCAGTTTAAAAAGTTCTTCAGTGTAGGCCAGTCCTGTATTCCCTTTGTTTCATCTCATTAAGTTCCTGTTTCCTGACATTTGCTTTATTATCAACTATGGAGACAGTGGTTGACTAAAACAATACAAAAAGTAATACTCTTAATTACTGTCAGAGCCTGAAAAGTCAGGAGACACAACTGGATCCAAACTTCCCGCAATATACCATAGCTTCGTGAAAAGAGAAAGGCCACCATTCAAAAGACGCTGGCTTTTGACCCCATATCAAATCCCAAAGCATTTGAAAAATGGGAAATAAAGGTGGAGCTCAGGGAACTTGTAATCACAGCTTCTCAGCGCAGGGTGTTTCCTTTAGCAGTACTGTATTCACATCTCTTTCTTTCAACCAATCACTTCACAACTTTCATTCTAAAGAAAGATAGTTAGGGATGAAAGTGACTATTGCCTGCTTCTCCTCTACTCCACTATATCATAAGATACAAGTAAAATCCCTGAGGCAGAACAAAGCCTTGTTGACTGAAAGTAGATACGAATCTGTTCTGTTATAATTTAGGAGGTTCTGAATTGGTTTTAAGGGACCGTCAGAAATAGACCTCCAAAAGGAATGCATGAGATTTGCAGATCCTCCAAAGCTAGGTGCTCTAGCAGCACACAGCAACATGTTCCAGTTCAGAAAAGCAGAATAAAGCGTGGAAAATGTGCAGCTTCTTTTGCCAAGGAGGAAACTCAGTGTATATGAAGTGTATATCCAGAGAAAACCGGAGGGAAAAAAAATAGTATTTTCTTAGCTCTGATAAAATAAACAAAAAACAGAATAAAATGCTCTTAGTTCTGAAACAAACAAACAAACAAATGAAACAAAACAAAACAAAAAGAAGAAAATCCTCTTATTTCTGAAAAATTAAACCAGTTCTGACAACATGCATATCTTTACAGTTTCATGGCTGCCTCACAGCTCATAAATTAAGCAACTTCTAACCTGAGCACACTTCACACTGAAAGAGGTAAAATGTTTGATTTGGTGGACTGTATTCATCCTATGACATACAGAGGTGTTAAAATAGCTTATGTTTGAAGAAAACCTACCAAAGAAAAATGGAGCAGGACTCAAAAATTTGAGGTCCCTCTGGCACTACTTCTAACGGGACAAGTATAAACACTGCTGTTATGGACAAATTTCAAATGGAAAGCAGAGGTATACTGTATGTACTAAAGAAAACCAGAACTTATGGTTTATTTTAGAAAAATAATTGCCCGCATGCCATTTTAAAGATTTCAAATGAGTATTAGTGCAACTGTTTTACGATTACAAACCAGAAATGTTGCCTCTGAATGGACAGTGATGAGTTCTCTAGCATCATCTGCAAACCTATAGCACTATCATTACTGCACTTAAAATGCAATTTCCACTACTTGGTCTTTTTTGGAGAATACATTTCAGTACTGCATTTCAAACAGTGCATTAGTTTGATTCCATTTCAGAGGTGCTTTACAGTTCTACAGAAATCTTGTTCGACAGTGCTTAATACTCCTCCAAAAAGAGCACTTAATACTCCTCAGATAAAGCACAGAATCAATAACGAAGGACTGTTGCAACCATCACGTCCCCATCAGCCCTTGCAGTGCCATGTTTATGCCGTACAACATGGTAGCACACTGCTTCCTGCACGTTCAGTTCTGTGAAGCAGTAAGGAAAGTGGTCTGGAGAGTGGCAGCACACAGTGCAGAACACGTGAAATGTCTCTGCGCATTCCCGTGGTAATGTGCCAGTCTGAGACAACAGTGCTGCCATTGTACAACATGAAAAAATGATGTTGATTTCCATCAAAGAACAGCAAAAAAAGAGATTTTTGTTGTGGTTAGCCTGAGTTCAAAGCTTGGAGTAACACACTTATGGATGAACAGAATAAACAGTTACACTTAGGCTTACTGTATAGAGCTTAACGAACACATATGAAGATCATATAAATAATTCACGTTACTCAAGAGTGGTGAGTTGAACAAGTCCCTTCTGGTTAAACTTATTTAAAGATGAGGTGAAGTTAAGTGAGTGATGGCACAGTTACAGAGGCCACAGTCCAGGGGGAATTTGGACAGTCTAAGTTACACTACCGCAGTGATTTGTGCAGAATTATGTCAACTTACAGATCTTTAGACCTTAAGGGAAAAGGAAATGTCTGCTCTCTAAAACATATGATACAAGATGGGTATTTTACAAAGTACAAATATGCTTTTCTCAATCGGCTATTTCTAGGTAGTAAACTGGACATCAGCAAAGCATGAAAGGAAACATTACCATATAGCTGGAGAATAAGTTCAATGACAACAAGGAAAGGCCAAAATACTAAATACTTGAAAGAAAATGCCACATTCAAAAAAAGTATTATCCTTTTCAATCCAGTGCTATCAACTCTCTCTTCTGCAGTACCTCAGAACTGTGTAATGGATCTATCCTATATTGTCTACTATTATATTTTAAGCATTTCATTGAAATTGCAAATGTAGAAGTAATTTCTAGAGTAATTATTATATGACCAACACTAACACATTCTTATTTTCAACTGACTGTAAGCCATAAACATCAAAGTCATGAATTAATCTATAATGGAGATTTTTGCTCTGGTAAAAAATGACATCAACAAACTAGGTAGCATTTCATCTGTTAATATTACAATAAGTCTGCAGTTTTCCTCATGTTGGCAGGGTAAGATTATAATGACAATCTGTCTCTCTTTTATTACATAAATATATTACACATACTTATGCCTGATAATTATAAGCATTATCTTGAGCCCAAATTCATTGTTCTAATATTGCCGAAGATTCTATAATTTAGAAGTAATAAAATTCTATAACCTTTTCACAATAAAATTTGCAAAGCAAAAGAATCTCCCCTTTCAGAACCTTCTAAACACCTCTGTTTCAAATGGCCAAAATGCAAGGAGAATTCCAGTTCAGATACACGTATAACAGTTAACTGTGATGACGAGTATTTATAGAAAATAAGCAACAATCCTTGCTGCATTGAACTTTGCAATTTAACACATTTTATATTTAATTAATTCAGAAACGGAAGAACTTCAAAACTGGCTTTGAACAGGCTGTTTGTTAAAAAAAATAGAACATTTATGTTTTCACTGTTGTTTTTTCAAATGTGATGTGACAAAGTGAAAAAGCTGCATGAAAGTGTGGTTCTTTGTGTGATGGAAGTGGGATGCACCTACTAGTCTCACATCATCAAAGAAACAGACATATATCTATAATTTATGCTTTGCTTTAAGCTTCCGCTGATCCGATGTGGCTTTTTCAGACAACACAGGCAGCCCTGGCACAGCCTGTCAATCATCTGGGCATGCTCAAATTGTAGACCATTAGTAGGAGAGACAGCAAAGTTTCTTTAATGACGCTTTTATATGTGGTGTGTTGGCAGTGAAACAGAGAAGAATTGACTTGATCAATGCATTAGTCTAATCATGGGGTTCCTGCTCTTAATTTCTTTTGTCGGTAATTTCCATACTCAAGCAGCATTCAGGATACTTGTAAAGACACACTTAGAGCACTGCATGATGTATGCAGTCACCT